AAAATAAAATAAATAAAATAGAATTATAAAATAAAACACAGTGCTTTGACGAAAAATATAAGAGACGAGCATGGGAACGTTGCTAGCATCTCCAGGGAAAAACCTACTTAGAATTTGTTTGTTAAATAAATAGTTGAAGAAATTCAACTTTTGTTTTTGTGTCATACTCCAGAGAAGATGTTCTCTGTCCTTCTAGCTGGGGTTGCTGTTTTCCATAGAGGTGCAGGCAGGACTTTACACTGCAGCAAAAAAAAAAGTGACAGGAACAAAAAAAGGCCCAGAAACTGCTCAGAGTTCAGAGGATTAAGAGTCTTAAGTCCAAAAACACTATTTTTGCACACTGCCTTCTGCAGCTTCCACCACTTTCCTGCTGCCTTACCTTGCAGAGACACCTAGTGGTCATTTCTAAAACAAACGGACATGACCAGATGTCTAAACAAACTTCAGCTGTTCACGAAGCCCAGGTCTACCTGTGTCCCCTCCAACACACACTGTGGCCACACCAAGCTGCAGCCAAACATGTGCCACGCAGCCACACACCAGTCTCATCATGAATACAACAGCGCCACTGTGTGGAGAGATCCGGCACACACTCAGTCCATCATGCTTCATGTCCAGTCAGCCTTCTATAGTCCAGACCGGACTAGTAGAGGGCAGATGTGTAGCTCCATGATGACGGCACCACCAGAGGCCTGAGTGATCCGCTCATTTACTAACAATGCTGTTTGTGTTTAAACGGAAGCCACGATTAAGATTCTTGGTTTCCTTTATTGAATCTGTTTTTTTAATCTTCTTTATCAAAGTCAGTGTCGTAGTTTGCTCTGTTCGTGCTGACAGAGTACAAGCTAACATCCCGTTAGTGCCTCAGAGGAGTTTCTCAGCCTTTCGAGTCTGTCTTAGAACAATAGTCAGGTGCTCACAGGAACACTGAAGAGAGTTCTGTTTGCCGAAGTGACTGAACGTATCGCCCTCCTTTATCCAAAAGTTTATCCACAGCTAAAGTGATGCTTCAGGAGTCTGAGTCACACAAATCAAGGAGACACCTTCCAAAGTTGCAGCTTTTTAATTCTCTCTGATTATGATCATTTTTCTGTCTGAAGGGAAGCTGTGAACTACAAGAGAGTAACTTTGGACCATTTGTGATTCCCTTGACTCTGAGCTCAGACTGATGAGAACGTCACATTCACTTGTAATAAACTCTGGAATACGTTTGGGCATTAAGCTGCTTGACTATCGCTGTAACACAGACTTGTGAAGCTGTTCATTAAAGCTCAATGCACTGCAAACTTTAGATTTAGCTGATCTGACCTGGTGCTGCAAAGTCCTTAAAAAAATAGGATGTAACCCTCTGAATCCCAAAGCTCTGAGGTTTGAAAGCGTGTTATCTTTAAGAGAAATTGCCAAGAGTGCACCATCTATGAAAGCCAGAAACTGTGAAAAACAGAAAGATGGTTGTAGTTTCAACGACTTATCTGTGAAGCTTATAGTGAATCCAGATGTTTGGATTGTTGGCTGTCTCTGCCTTTGTTAAGCGCTATGAGATGACTTGTTGTTGTAAATATGCGCTATACAAATAAAACTGAATTGAATTGAACTGAATTGACCAAAGCCGAAACTTGACATCATAATAATGAATTAAAATTCAACATGTCTCATTTACAAATCTGCCAAAATAATAGTTTGCACTAAACAAACTCTGCAAAAACCCAAAAATTCTGTAATTCTCTGCACAACCTTGAAGCCACGAGCGACTCGGCTGCGACCAACATTCATGTGACACAAATTCAGGGATGTGACGCTTCACCTGCAGGCGGTGCTTCCACTGAGGAGACGTGTACAGACAGGAACTAAAAATGGAAGCAGTAAAATATCTGGAGTATGTAGAAAGACCATTTAATGGGCAGCTGGAAAATGTTGGACGTGTTGAGTCTTGATTTTTTATGATTTCTGCAAATAATCAAAGAAATCTAACTTTTTTTATGATTTATGACGTTATCACTGAATAAAAATACATTTCTGAGTTCTGTCTGAGTCTATCATGGCTGTTCTGTTTCCACAGAGATTTTTAATTTCAGTAAAAAATGAGACAAGAGCAAAGAAACTGTTTGGGGTTCAGAGGATTAATCGTTATATTATATGTCGTCCCTTTAATTTTTGCGTTAGCTAGCATGTGGTAATGAGGCACAGAGACCATGAATGTTATCGTAAAGATGTGTGCGATAAAAAAGATTGTAATATGAGAATAAAAGCAGGTAAACTGGGCTGTTGAAAGCCTTTGTTAGTAAATCAGATTGATTTGTGGCGTCCCGGCAGAGATCCACAAACAATCCTAACTGGGTGAAGTAAGTGTGAGAGAAGAGGAGATGGAGCAGGCAGGACAGCTACCTTCAGATAGTGGATGTTTAACTGGCAGGCCTAGAAGAGAGAAGAAACTCACTCATTAGTGCCGACAAACGCCAGCGGACGTGTGCGTCTGGCTGATGGGGGAAGAGTGTCAACATCCTCATGACATCGATCAGTTACAATCTTTTATCCGTGCAGCAGAAAACAACTAAAGGCATGCTTATGAAACAGAAAGAAAAAAAAAGTCCCGTTTCATCACATCTGTTGCATTTCGCCCTGGTTGCCACGGCAACTGCACAACAAGACGCCAGCCTCGGAGGAAAGTCGAGGTCGGCGTCGTACGGTATGGGGAGAGGCAGAAAATTAAAAACAACAAGAGGTGGCGTCTGGAGGAGATGACATTTACACTCAGTATTAAAAGAGCTGCGTGCACACATGGACGGTCACAACGCTCAGCTCGCTCCCTCCTGCTTCTTCCTCTTTTCTAAATCCAGCACCGTTTTGTTTGCCTTGGCCTGTTTCATACAGCGAGTGCCAACAATATGGACACGGGAGCTTCTGAGTTTAATTTAAGGCTGGATATTGCAAAGCGCTACAATAACAAGCAGACTGAGACGTGCAGGCAGCAGAGTCGCCACTAGAGAGCGACAGTCAGCTGCAGAGGCCGTGATGCTCATTTCACTGACAACAGTTCATGTAAATCAGACACTCAAAGCAAGCAGCAATGTTTGTCAAATCGATAAGAACTTAGATCTGCCTTCCTATCACTTCCGCTATGAATATTTATTTACAATTTCCCCAACGATCGATTGGCCTGGAGGCAGAAAAAGTACCTTCAGAATGGAAAACCTGCAAAAGCTGGTGCTAGAACTTGGAAGTGGGTAAATAAATACCAGGAAGCAGCACAAGGAGGCTCTTTACATGAGTCTGATTCCACTCAAGCTGTTCTTAGCATCCAGGGTCAGATTGTATTAATGCTCAGAGAGAGTCTCGAAGCTTTCTCTTTGTCTGCAGGATGTCTACCGCTGTCTCGCTCACACCTGCAAGTGACTGCAGTGGAAAACGGCTAGGATCGGTTTGAAGTTATAACATCTTCATTTAGATCTCCAGATAGCTGGTTTGTAGTCGGGGAGGACTGAGCTTGTTGAGCCTCCTGCTGCGCTTTGGGGCGGTCTGTTGTTAAACTGTGTGTCCCAGCTAACTGGAAGCTCACAATGCTAACACAGCTGTCATTTAAAAACAAGAAGATTCATTTTAAAGCAGGAGACAAAACAAAAAAAACAAAACATCTCCGGCACACAGGGTGAAATGCACAAGTGGGAAGAGGACGAGGTTACCATGGTGACAGGGGAGAGCAACACATTTTTTTTGTTTGTTTGTTAAAGTGAGTGAGTGTGTATGTCGAATAGACACGTGCGGGAAAAGAAAATCTACTTTATGGCGTGTTAGAAAGACACCTCGAACTTCTGCCGGAGCTCCAGGTTGACGTCGTCCACCTCGGCGATGGGAACGTTGTAGTACTCGCCCTCCTCCTGGTTCAGCAGCTTGTACCTGCCACACAGAGAAGTCAGTCTGTTGGACTTTTCATTCATGGAGCTCTCTTCAAGGCTGTCAATGATCACATTTACCAGTTTGCTTTTTAACGTCCACCCACACAGCCACAAATCCCTTCAATTAAAAGCAGCTGCTGGTTGCATTTCTTAGCAGATCTGTTCACTGTCAGCGCTTCAGCTACTCCTCTACCGGACACATCCTCCAGCCGTTTGTCTCATGACCTGTAATGTGCGGCGCAGAAGCCACAAACATCAGTGGATTCAGCAGCAGGTATTTCCCGCTGCAGCAGTAGATCAGGGTCGGTTTAGGCTACGTCGCGGCTGCTATGCTAACACGGCTCTCTGTGACTGTGTGTTTACTGGGATGAGACAAAGCAGCCACACGGAGGAAATGACGCCAGCAGGTGCTGTTTGTCAGCGCCGGCCGTATTTACGTCTGTCTCATGTTTTAAAGACAAGCTGGTCGTCAGTACAGTGTGAAGGGAAGTCAGCGGCCTGCGGTGGAAAAAGATGTAGTTCCCTTTTGTGGAAAACCAAAAAACAGAGCAGAGGAACAATATCATGATCTGAAAACAGTCAAAAAGCTGCTGTCAGCGGCACTGAAATAGTTTCATGTGTATAATCCTTTATCATCAGGAGGCCCTTTGTTAAGCTGTATTTTCACACTAATGTGGTTTCAAACAGACCTCAGATCAGTTCAGCCTGAACATGCACAGAAGAAAGTCGTAAAAACAACAAGTTAAAGGAGCAGGAAAACAGTCGCTTTGTTGGTCATTTTCTGGGGAATATAGATCCAGTTTTTAGCTCTGGTTTTGGTCTCCACCGGTCTAAAATGCTGTTATGTGATGATCAGCTGGTTACAGATGGTGTCTGAGCAGGCAGCACACAGTGAGTTTTCTTCACAGCTTTTCCCATCACGACTGAAAAAATGTAAGCAATTGAGAAATAGTTCAACATGTTAGCAAAGGCACGTATTTACTGTTGGTGCTGAGAGTTGGATGGGAGCCAGTCAGCAGAGCGCTATACCACCTCCTGCTTCCTGTTCTACATGTGATGTGCATTCAGCAGCACCCGGAGTCAAAAGAGTAAAAGTGTGACCCACTAAAACTGACTTCTGGCTCAAGTTTGGACATAATCCACGCTCTGAGGTAACGTATGTTGGGAATCGATGCTACATCAATATATATTTAAATAAACAGGCGGCTCAGACTGACCATCCGTTGTTCTGAGCCTTGATGAGCTCAGACACTCCAAACGACATGGACCCCATGAAGTCGTTGCGGGTGGTTCGGTCCCAGTCCCAGATCTCGATGGACAGACGGCGGTCCTTATCCGATGCCTTCAGCTTACTGGACACACAAACACACACATGTTGTCCTTTACAGCTACTTATGATGTGCTTTCACATGTTTTCGCTGTAAGCCCTGTGAGTGCAGCTGTTTCATATGTAACATAGACACACACCAACATCTAGACTTACAATGTGAAGGACTCGTTCCAGCAGGGGTTGAGAGATGAACGGATGGTCCTGGTCTTCTGTTTGGTCTCGTTCTTTGGGTCTGGGATGAGCTTGAGCTTAACATACGGGTCTGATAAACCATTTGGATCCATTGGAATCAGGTTCCTCGCTTCGCCCACTACAACAGAGAGAAAACCTGAGTATTTCTGTTTGGGTGTTTGGCCCCCGAAGCCACATTCATGACTCCATAGCTGACGACTCCGGGGTTAAAAGTACACCGACGGGAGGCTGTAGATGGAGCGATGGATGCAAAAAGAGCTGAGTCACTACAAGTCACAGCCAACAGGAACGATCTGACCTTTAGTGCCAGCAAATCATCCGTCTGTGCTTCATTGGTGGTCTTAGATTACTAACGCCAAGGAAGATTTAAGGATTCACAAGTTTCTTTACAAACCATGAAAGGAAAAATATATATGTATATAAACAAAGGTTATATTGTCAGTGTGACTGACTACTAAAACGCTGAACTTGTTCTGGTAAAGACCAAAACATGCTCATTAATATTTGGGTTTCATAGATACTTCATAACTGCATCACGTCCAAGCTGAACAGCATTTATTGTAATGAACTGCACGGCAGGAAGTCAACACGCCTTCCATGACTTTACTTTAAATGTCTATTCTTGACAGACTCCGTCCTGGCCAGCAGAAGACACCACATCTCTGCAGAGATATTCTGTCATTCTTCAGAGACAATTTATTTCAGCTTTTCTTTTCTGGAGAGGTCGTGTTGCTCCGCTTTCATCTTTAAAACACCCTGAAGGTGTGCTATTGGATTCAAGTCAGGCAACACACTTGGTCAGGCCACTGCTTTCACTTTCTTCTTTGTGAGAAGCTCTTGTGTGACACTGAGCTCCTGCAGACTGGGAGTCACCTCATCAGAGAGGGTTTCTGGTTCATCCACAGACATTTATGGTGCATCTTTAAATGTCACCATGGCGCCAGCAGCTTTGTTCAGCCTCAGATCATCACATGTCAGGACTATGCATTCACTGTGGCAGTCCTGCTGTTCACGCCGAACATGCTGGACTCCATCTGAGCCCGACACATTCATCTTGGTATCATCTGACCAAACAATGAGCTCATCAGGCTTCTTTTCATGCAGGTTTCCTCTGATATGTATATTTCTTGTGAGTTGAGTTTCACACTGCCTGAGCTTCACTGAGACTTCTGGCGATTCCTTTCCATGACACAAGGTTCTGATGTTCACAGCTGGTTTGATAACCAGGTCCATGCAATCGGTTTTCTAACCTGAGAGTCGTTGATCACAGTTGTGATGGATGGATGGATGGATAGATGGATAGATGGATAGATAGATAGATGGATAGATGGATGGATAGATGGATAGATAGAGAGATAGATAGATGGATAGATAGATAGATAGATAGATAGATAGATAGATAGATGGATCATCACATATCCAAGCATACTGTCAACATTCACTTAAGTTGTAGTGTGAAACAACACTGACAGGATTGTAACACTGGTGGGCGTCAGGGTGCGTGAGCTTGTAAATCAAGAAGAATAAAAAAATAAAAATACTCCTCGCCTAAAAGTCTGTGTCGCATACTCTGTTATGAAACAAGTAAACAAGAGAGCTGATGGTAACATTGGACTCTCCGGTGCAGCAGGGGAGCAGGTTTCTGCATCTCTAAACGCAGGAGTTAAGCGAGGTGAGCAGATAATGTGAGGGAGACGTGACGTTTCGCTGTGCGACAACCGACAAATGGAAAAAAAAGAAAAGCAGTGCTAATACATGGCAACAGGAGTGGTGGTGGTGAGCAGGCCACCTTCACCATGGAGACAGCATCCACTGTAAGTGGCCACTCCCCCACTTAGCCACATTATGTGAACACACAAACAAATGTCAGCTCGTCACTTACTGCAGTGATTAGAGAAGCAATGAGAAATAATAGCTGCAGACAGTATAGAAAATCAGCTGACGGAGAGAAAAGGAGGAACGGAGACTAAACTTTAACTGTCCTGACACCAAAACATGACAAAACTATACCACACTGATCCTCTACAACCTATCAGCTTCAGTCTCCCCACTCTGCATATTTAAATGCAATCAGACACAGAGCAGAAAGAAAGAAGCTGCAAAGCAGAAGGTTTCAGAGCGTGAACTCTCACACGAGGACACGTTTCCTGAGACCCTCCACTAAAACGGCGGTAATGTACTTTCACTTTGAAGCATAAATATTCAAGCGCAACTCGTTTGGTTCTGCTCTCTTTGTGAGATTTAATGAGATTTATTTTGACAATTTGAGATTTTTCACCGCTGGATGTGAAAATGAGGTGAATGAGGCGCCATGCTTTTAAGAGATCAGAGGCCTCATTTATCATCAGTGCGTAGAAAAGGTTCTAAATTCTATCGTACGCATGAAGTGTAGAGTGTGTAAGTACAAAAACATCCGTATTTATCAAACGTGCGTACGGGGTCGTAGCACATCAGTGGTGATAAATCCTACTTGTTCTTAACCTCCGTGCTCGTGCACGTTGCCTTCAGGAACGCCTCCACATCACCATATAGGGCAACAACACGCCTCTTTATAAGCAAGTGAAGGTTTATTTTTTCCTCACCTGTCGTCATCATCGCGGCAAAAAGGGCAAAAAAGAGGAACTTTTCTGAAACTGAGATCGAGGTTCTTGTCAGCGAGGTTGAAGCAAACCAGAAAATATTGTTTG